TGAAGTACTCGTTACTCAGCCTCTCTGTCTGTTTCTGTTTCACGCTGCCCCACGTGTGGGGCGTCGGTAGTCTTTTAGAATTTGTGAGGCAGGTTTGGTGGAATCAGGCTCTCTTCAAAATAATGAAATCGAAGAAAACAGCAGTTTTCTCCCAGCTTAGCAATTTTTATCAAATTTTGGTTTTTTGTCTCAACACCTTTTATGTCCATTTACAAACACATTCCTTTGGGGATTTCACCGAAAACGTTGATTAAAGGCACAAAAATATAAATTTACAGTTTTTGTGGACTCTCCAGCTTTGGAATTTACTAGGTTTGGCGGCCATTTTCTCCCTAATTTTACCTCTTAAACCAGGTGACCCCCAACTCCTTCAATCCAAAATATCTCCACTTCTACTGAAGGTGGATGGGCAATTTTTTCATTGAAAGCAAGACAAATGAACAAGCTTTAAGATTGTACCAATAACGCAATATGCCCAAAAATTAACGAAAGCCTGATTCCACCACGCTGCCTCACATTTGGCTACGGACTCGTAATCTTGAGGATGTAAGTTCGGGGGTTCGAACCGTGCGCCCGACGTTGTTATCTTTGGAAAGACGCTTTAAGTGAATTTTCCTCACATTACCCAAGTGAAATGGTAACCCGGCCATAGACAGTGAAAGATCTTGTCAGTATGTTAGTGTTTTTGCATCTGTACTATAAATGGCAGCTTGAACTGTATGCTTCCCAGGTCCCAGGAAGTGGAGATTGTTTCAGAATGCTATCAGGTCTGCTTGTGTCACAGTAGAGACGGTAAAGCGCACTGAGCTTGCTTTTGAGCGGGATTTTGCGCTATACGAGCATACAATAAATGCTGTCTACTTTCTCTATTACACTTACGCTTGAGGCTTTGTTTGTAGCATACACTGGACCCTTCTGTTCTTCATTTATACCCAATGCCCATTGGCACGATCAGATCGGTTTGGTACGGTTTTGAAAACGGGGCTAGCCATATTGGGGGTGTAAAACGACCATCGTGGGACCAACCGAACGAAGCCGACGCGCCGAATCTGACCCTACAAGACAAACGAGAGTCGGGCGATCGGTTTGTAATGTATTGGAGAACCGATCCCCAATGGGCACTGGATATTATTACCCTACTGCAGTGAAATAAATATCGACAGAGAAACCCATGATGCCAGAAGGCGAACGCGAGAGTATACACGCCCAATACGATAAATAAAGTAAGTATATGGGTTTAACGCCCCTATCAATGCTCTTAAGTTATGTAATAGACTGGACCTCCACACTTAAGGTCCCTCTCCGACAAGACCGGTTGATAGCTTTGAAAACTTCGCAAAATGACCCGAGTTCAAGAACAGCCCAACTGGTATTCGAACTAGGGCCATCCTTTCTGTAGTCCAGCATTATATTAACAGAGGTAACAGACCCCCCC